AATTTTATATCCTTCTCACTTATGCATGACCATTATGGTATATTATTTAATGGAATTGCATCTAAGAATAAAAACATTTCAAAGAAACAATCCAAGAAGTAATCCTGGAAGAGTGGACTGAACTGTGTTGAAAGAGCATGACTTTTGAATCATGCAGATGTAGGCTTATATTCCAGTTCTCTTGTATTCCTGTGACCTTGCACAAGTTACTTCACCTGTTTTACATCTAAGTTCATTATGTAAAATTAAGGGTGATAATTTTCAAACTAAGTTGGTTTTTAGAAGAGTTACATCGGGAAAATAACCAATGGATTCTAGGCTTAATATTGGAGTGGCAGAATAATTTGTACAACAAACCCTCATGATACAAGTTTACCTATATAACAAAACTGCGTATATACCATTAAACTTAAAATAAAAATTAAAAAAGAATTAGAAATAATACAATGTGTATCACATGACATATAGAGATTATTATTGTTATTGTTATTAAATGAATTATGGCCTAAGGCTTTCACATGCTTAGATATTTCCTTAAACTATTCCAATGTAGTAACCGTTAGTGACATACTGAAACTGATTCTTGTGATATCACTATCACTGAAATGGAATATTTATTTTAAAAATCCATTCTATGAGTAATAAATGTCTTGTTGACATAAAAATGTCAAAAAGCCAGTATTTATCAATTATATTCTCACATTTATTAGATAGAATGGAAACTTTATTTAAATTTTAGTAGGTTTATAATGGCACATGGCTTTTAATTTTCACAGTTTGTACTTTTGGTCCTCAATAATTGATTCAATAAGGTAGGTACTCTAATTCAATAAATCTAAAACCTGAATGCATTTTGTTCATAAAGTTTTACTCTTAAAATATAATAAATATTAACTGTGAGAAAAAGAAGGAGGCTTACATACTTAAGTCAATCTTGATTGTATGTATGTTATGGAAATCAAACAACTTCTTGATCATTAAACTCTATGGTACATGCAATCAATGTGTTATTCTTGTAGAATTCTTTTTGGCACAACTCCCAGTAGTGTTGACATTAACGGGGGTGTTGTGACATTTTATGATGTGAGGATGTGGGTATGGAAGAATAATTTTGACATTAAAGTCATGCCATTCAGATTTATCTGCTTTTTATCTGCAAATACATGCCTATCAGGATATGTTGACTGTGATAAAATTACTTAACATTTAGAAAGTGACATTATGGTTAATAAAATCAGGTCATTAATTTGAGATATGTGCATATGTTTCATCATGGAAATATTGTATTAAAATACAAAATTATCATAAATGTTATCAGCTTCCCCATTTAAACTTGATAACACAGTAGGTAAGAACTTTTGTACAAGTGAAATATCTACTCTGCAATAAATGAGCAACTTATTTTTAGGGATTAAGCTAGAATTTTTTAAGAAACAAATTTTTAGTGATTAAGTTTAGAATTTAATAACTCATTGCATCTAGTTATGTTTTGGTAGAATTCAGCAGAAAAGCCTTTAGGTCCTGGGCTTTTCTTTACTGGATGACTCTTTATTACGGCTGACATCTTGTTATTTGGTATTGGTCTGTTCAGGTTTTGGATTTCTTCCTGATACAGTCTTAGTTGTACGTGTCAGTTTTTGACTTTGTCCATTTCTTCTACATTTTCCAATTTATTGCTATATAGTTGCTCATAGTAGCTACTTGTGATCCTTTAAATTTCTGCAGTATCAGTTGTAATGGCTTCTTTATCATCTCTGATTTTATTTATTGTATCTTCTTTCTTTTGATCTTAGTCTGGCTAAAGGTTTATCAACTTTATCTTGTCAAAAAGGCAATTTTTGTTTTGTTGATTTATTTATTTCAATTTCATGTATTTCTGCTCTGATGTTGATTATTTCTTTTCTTCTATTAATTTGGGATTTGATTTATTTTTGCTTTTCTCTTTCCTTAAGATGGAACATTAGGTTATTTGTGTGAAGATTTTCTCCTTTTTGAAGTATGTACTTATAGCTATAAACTTCCCACTTAGTGCTGCTTTCATTATATATGATAGGTTTTGGTATGTTGTGTTCCCAGTATCATTTATCTCAAGATATTTTTCAATTTACTTTTTAATTTATTCATTGACCCACTGGTCATTCAGGAACACATTTGAGAATTTTCATATATTTGTGTAGTTTCCAAATACCTCTTCTTATTTATTTCTTGTTTTATTCCATTGTAGTCATTGAAGATGCTTGATATAATTTTAAATTTTGAATGTTTCAAGACTTATTTGTTTATATAATATATGGTCTGTCCTTGAGAGTGATCCTGTGCTGAGGAAAACAATATGTATTCTGCACCCATTGGATGAAAACTTTCATAAATATCTATTAGATCCATTTGGTCTATAGTGCAGATGAAGTCTGATGTTTCTTGATTTTGTCTGAAATATCTATCAAATGCTGAAAGTGGGGTTGAACTCTCCAGCTATTATTATCTTTTGGTCTGTCTCACTCTTTACGTCTAATAAGATTTGCTCTGTATATCTGGTTGTTCCAGTGTTTGGTGCATGTATTTTTTTACAATTGTTATATCCTCTTGCTTAATTGACCCTTTTATCATTATATAGTGACCTTCTTTGTCTCTTCTTATACTTTTTGTATAGTTATTTTTTTTATACAGGTATAGCTACTCCTGTTCTTTTTTAATCCCCTTTGAATGAGATATCTTTTTTCATCCCTTTATTTTCAGTCTATGTGCATCTTTACAGGTGAAGTGTGTTTCTTCTAGGCAACAGATCATAGGATCTTTTTTCATTCATTCAACTACTCTATGTATTTTGATTGAATAGTTTAGTCCATTTACATTCAATGCTATTATTGATAAGTAAGGACTTACTTATGCCTTTTAAAAATTTGTTTTCTTATTGTCTTCTTTCTTTTCTTTCTGTTTAACTTTAGTGAAGGTGATTTTCTCTGGTAATATGGTTTTGTTTCTTGCTTTTTATTTTTTGTGTATCTGTCATATGTTTTGTGGTTTGTGGTTACCATGAGGCTTGCAAATAGTATCTTATAACCTATTATTTTTAGCTGATAACATCTTAACACAGTTTGTATAAACAAGCAAACAATAAACAAGAAAAATTAAAAAAAAAAAAACTAATAAAAGACACTACACCTTAACTTCATCCCCTTGCTTTTTAACTTTTGTCATGTCTACTTATATCTTACTGTAGTGTCTGTGGCTTTGTATTTATTATTTTTGATTGGTTGATTATTTAGTCTTTCTGTTTAACTTAAGAGTAGTTTACGCACCACAGTTACAATGTTGTAATAAACTGTGGTTGTTTTGTGTACTTACTATTGCCTGTGAGTTTTATGAGTTTTGTACCTTAAAGTGATTACTTATGGTTTCTTTCTGTTTGAAGTATTCCGGTTAGCATGTCTTGTGTTGATGAAATCTCTCAACTACTGTTAGGGGTCTAGTAAACTATTACTTTTTCACTAAATACTCTATTTTTTTTTTTTCACTTCAGCACTTTAAATATGTCATACCACTCTCCTGGCCTGTAATGTTTGCACTAAAAAGTCTACTGCCAGACATATCAGAGCCCCATTATATGTTATTTGTTTCTTTTCTCTTTCTGCTTTTAGGATCATTTAAAACTTTTTTTTTTATCTTTGGGAGATTAATTATTTAATGCCTTGAGGTAGGCTTCATTGGGAGTTTGATTATTAAATGCCTTGAGGTAGTCTTCTGTGGGTTAAGTCTGCTTGGTGTTCTAAAATTCATTTGGATATTGGATATTTGTATATTGACTTGGGATATTGATATATTTCTCCAGGTTTGGGAATTTCTCTGCTACTATCTTTTGAATAAACTCTCTTCCCCCATCTGTTTCTCTACCTCCTTGTAAGGCCAGTAACTCTTAGGTTTGCCCTTTTGAGGCTATCCTCTAGATCATGTAGGTGTGCTTCATTGTTTTTATTCTTTCTTTTGTTGTATCCTCTATCTATTTTTAAATAGCCTGTCTTTAAGCTCACTCTGCTTAATCAATTCTGCTATTAAAAGATTGATCCATTCTTTAGTATGCCAATTGCATTTTTCAACTCCAGAATTTCTAGTTCTTTTAAATTATTTTAATCTCTTTGTTAAACTTATGTAATAGAATTCTGAATTCCTTCTCCATGTTATCTTGAATTTCTCTGAGTTTCTTCAACACAACTATTTTGAATTCTCTCTCTGAAAGATCACATCTCTCTGTTTTTCCAGGAATGGTCCTTGGTGCCTTATTTAGTTTATTTGGTGAGGTCATGTTTTCCTGGATCATCTTGGTTCTTGGAAATGTGTATCTGTTTCTGGGGACTGAAGAGTTACAATTAGCAGGTAGCAAAGCCAACCAGGCCTATATCTTTTCTTTATGGTGTAGAGTTCCCTCAGACCCCAGGTGGGTCCAGAGGTGCTGTTCAAGCCCAGGAACTAGAGTTAAAAAAAAAAAGCTAGAATACCACCTGGTGTTATATTGTACTGTGGCTGAGATGGCACTCAAACCATAAGATGCTTTCTTTTCACTCTTCCATCCCCTTTCCGAAGGCAGAGAAGCTTCATTCAGTGGCCACTGCCACCTCTGGCTAATTATATAACTTTTTAATTTGAAAAATAAAATGTAGCAAATATAAAAATATGACTATTGAAATATTTAATTGATGGTCAATATAATCGTATATAGATCACGTATCTTACCATAATTTGAATTTTTCTTTTTCTAATTTTAGTGCTCAAGGAGGATGTACTTCACATATACTGCCAGAATTTTTGCTTGAACCAGAAGACTATAAGAGGTGGATTGAAATCACGGTAAGAAAACATAATTTGTTGGAACAAACCACACATTTATTATTGTATGTACTGGTATTTGGCCTATGTTAGAATATTCTATTTCAGAGTCCTTGAGTTTTATATACAAAATATTAGAAGGTTCGTGATTTCTGGACAACCCGTATGTTTTGGACATTTGTCTAAAAATTTCTGTCGCGTTCCTGTGCGAAAATGGTTACGTGGCTTTCTTAAATATATAAATAATTGCTACTTTGGAAAATTTATAAATGAAGACAAAGGTGGGGTTATGGAAATTTTATTCTTAAACTTTTAGAATATATATTTTCCAAATACTGGTTTTATTTCACCACCATGTGCCACTTTTTTCCTTCATTTTCAGAGGAAAATAGAAATGAAGCAAGAAATACATAGTTTTGTCATAATATATCGTTCACTTTGTAGAAACCTATTGAGAGGGGAGTGGTCTTGAAGGAATCTGCAAACTTTGAGGCAACTATGGTTGTAAGACTCTCACTGTGCTTGTCATGTGACATGAGTAGAGAACCAACTGCCTGCCTGTTCTTTGGCACTATGCTGAGGTCCCGTTGCCTTACCCAAAGGGTGTGACTCTTTCTTGGCTCAGCAATCAGAAGAACTTTGTATGTTGTTTGGTCACTTCTTCTACAGAGTGATCTAGTAGGTGCATTGAGTGAATAAATCTATGACCTAAATATGAGCCTGTGTGCTCCATAAAGTTTCCTGTGTTGATATTTTCTATTGTTGGCACATGGAGAATTAGAGTTCTTGATTAAAGTATGGAAAAGGCATGCACATATTTTGCTAAAAAAAAAAAAGTTCGTATTCTAAATTTGCCTTAAATTTTAATTAATGTTGTCCTATTTTATTTCTTAAAGTCTTCCACTCATACCACGCCTGAGAGTTCCTGTACACCTCAGGAAAAATGTTCTGTTGTCATAGAAATGTCTAAATTTGAAGACTGGAGTAAACGGGCATGGACAGATATATTTCTACAGATATACAAGGTAACGTTTCCACTATTGTTTGCTGCTTTTCTGTTGATTAATATAAATTATATATTAATTATAGATAATGCTGCTATGAAAGACTCAAAAACACAGTGCCTTAAAAAGATGTTCTTTTCTTGCTTTCTCATGGAACTGCTGAGATGTGAGTGGTCAAAGCTTGTATCTCTTCCCTCCTCAGTACTAGGTTTTCATCTTTGGGTCTGCTTTCTCTGAAGAAGGAAGAGCAGATAAAGGATTACTGGAGGCAAGGATTTACCTTTAAAGGATGTGACCTGAAAAATATGTCTTTTACATTTCAAATTCCATTAGGCAGAATTCAGTCAGATAGTCACATCTAGCTGTAAGAGAAGTTGAGAAATATACTCTCTAGAATGAGTAGCTACAGTAATATTCTAGTACTAAAAGGGAGAATTAAAGAATGAGTAGTGGTGAAAATTATTGTCTCCACATCTAATACACAGTAGTTTTTTGCTATAAAATGATATTCATAAGGATTCATACAACTGTAGGCAGGAGCAGGTTTTTATGAGATTCTCGAACTTACTTCCTGCCAAATTGCATTTGTGGGCAGATTAACATAGCATAAATTATACCTCTATACTCTATACCCTTATTGCATAAACAAGGCCTGATTTCCGTCCATGAATCATTCCCTAGGTTTTCAAATATAGCACTATAGATCTTGTCTACTAGGACCAATGGAGGCTTTTGTTTTGTCTTCATACTTTGCAACCCAAGACAGGTGAGCTATAGAACTGAGAGTTAGAACAAGGGAGGAATTAAATAGAATCAGGAATTACTGACTCAAAGGAAAGGGCAAAATTAAGAGCTGAATAATGAGTAGTATGTGTAAGACTCTAAATAAATTTTTAATGTTAAATCCTCACAACTGAAATCCTCAATTTAGCAATGAAGAAACTGAGGCTCCAGAGTAGCTGGGACTACAGATGTGCACCACCAAACCCTGCTAATTTTTATATTTTTGGTAGAGAGAGGTTTTGCCATGTTTCCTAGGCTAGTCTTGAACTCCTGAGCTCAAATGATCTGCCCACCTTGGCCTCCCAAAGTGCTGAGATTACAATCATGAGCCACCATGCCTGGCCAAGTTTTATTTAAAATTGTTGCACAATTTCATAAAATATTTTTATACTTTTAATCAGAGAGCAGTGGTCTTCAGGTTAGGCATATTTTCCCCAAACCTGTTCAAAATCCCTCTATAACATCATATAATTGGAATATTTGTTGCTAAAGGCAGGACATGAAATCTACAGAGGCATTATTCAGAATTGCATTTGTATTACCAAGGTATCTAGCACAGTGGTGACTGTAGGACTCGTTGAGTTATATAGGCCTGTTTCTCTTCCAAATAGTGCCCAGATGCTTGATTTTTTTTTCTTTTTGGTTTTTTAATACTTTATCCCCATTATTTTTGTAAATAACTATTACCTCTCTTCCCTTCAATTGCTATTATCAACGTGCCTGGTTACAGTAGTTCTTTTTCCTATTATTTGCAATCTTTTGTGGCGTAAGAAACTAGATATCCACACATTAAAATTTTCTATACATACAAGCAAATAAGTTCTGATTTAAAGTGCACAGAAGGTTTTTTATCAATTAAGTATAAGAAAGGTAACATAGATTTTCAGATGCCAAGGATTATAGCTCAAAGTGTTAACATATGCAAGAAATATGTTCTTGAATTATGTGCTCACTGGTTCGCTTTCAGGAGATTTTTTGCCATTGTCGAGATTTGAACAGATAAGTTGTTACTGTGTGTGCTCTCATTTTTATCTTTATTGTAACACAATAATAATCCACATTAGACATGATATTCTAAAATCCGTTTTACTCAGCCATAATCGAAGATGCCAACATCCTTTAAAATCCTCCAAGAAAATTTCCCTCTGTTAGGCACAAAGGCTGTGGGAAAATTCATTTCATTTGTGACTGGTTGTTAATGCTGGAAATATGCTCTTTTGCACTGTTAGTCATATAGGGCCTACTCTGCTTTACCGGAAGCATGGTCTTAGGTTTGGTTTGATAATCAAAATTGTGAAATATAGTAGATTTCATGTAGCAACATGTTAGCTTAGTTTTAAGGAAGTACAAAAGATAGGTATAACACAGAATGCACAGCAATAGCCAAATCATAGCTTTCAGTGTCCCGCTCACTCCACACTCATGTCGGAAGTGGTTACAATAGTGGAGTATGGTGGGCAAGGACCATTTCAATACAGGACAGCCTTCAAGTCTAAGAAATCTTTTCATTTTTCTAGTCATGCAGCACCCTCAATGTAATTAGTAATTTCTCATTATGCGATACAAAATACTGACAATGAGGTATGAGTGCTTAATCTGGTACACTATCCTCGTTTGGATTCTCGATGAACTTGGATATCTTATAAATTTCTTGCTATACATTTCTTTAGTTAAGGGGGTTTAAAGAGACTCCAAATAAGTGTTAAACCATCAGGCATCTCTTTAGCTAAAGGTAAGATTGTACATAAACTGGCAATTGGTTCTTTACTTTGGGTCCATGTAAGCCTAGTCAAGATGATTCTTCAGAACAAGTCCAAATAAATATCTCATTAGTCTCAAAAATCCAGAGATTTTTATGGATGCATAAAAATGAAAATTATGTTTTCTGTGCCAGTGGGTTAAAATAATACATAATTTAAAAAGTTGTCATTGATGAAAAATAAGCCAAATATAAAAGCAAAGTTTATGTGAAACTGAAAGTGCAATGATGGGGTGGGATAGCACTCAATGTATGCAAATATATACATTAGTATAGTTAGTAGTAGTTTTGTCAGTGTTGTTTTGAAGTCTTTTAAATGTTCCATAGTGACATAGTGTGATAGCACAGGACTGTGTTCAATTTTGTGGCCAATCTATTGACTTTAAAGGGTGCTATTACATTTCTTGAATTAAATTTTTACCAATAATGAAAGATAATTCAAAGCAATGTTTTGTGAGAGTATGAAAGAATTTACTGAGTATTAATCACTAAATATGATTTACCCAAATTTCATCTTAGGTGGCACAGCTTACAACACATTCTTGCCTCTGTAATTCTTACTCCATTCCTTCAACTCATGCTTGGTGTGATTTGCATGGTAATGGATAAATAGTAACACTTTTTGCCCAAGGTATATTTGTATTTGCAGGTGATGGAGTCTTGTACTTTGTGTACATTTTAATTTTTCAAGCAATTTATTTTCAGAGTATTTTACCAAACTATCCTTCTGTGGTAAAGAGAAAATTAATAAGTTGTTTATCACTGATAATTGCAGAAACACTGCTGTAGAATTAAACACTCAGTGCAATGGCTCTTCCAATACTAAAGGTTACATCCATGATCCATATCGGTCCATCATTAAATCTGTATTCTTAGTAAAGGGTCGCTTGCAGATCTTGTCTCATTTGCAGAGCAGATGTGACAGATGACAGATGATTCCTGAGCCAGTTCATGTAATTAGTCCCAAACATATATCTCATCAGCTGTACTCAAGAAATTTATCATTTGGTATTTCCAAGAAATAAACAGAAATGGATGGGGGTCCTTTTCAAAGTCTTTAAATTGCATTTTTATAATATGTGAGATTTGAAATGTAGGACTTGTAGAACACAACTGCCAGAATGAAACAAGGCAGTTTCATTAAACTTCTATACAAAATGCTAAAATGATGCAATTCACATATGCTAGATCAATAGCTAACATTCAAAAACTGATTTTTTATAATCAAATTTGAAGTACTTCTTATAGTGGCAAAGAAAAGAACAGTTTCGGATACTCATAGGTATTTTAATAATTTGTATACTGTAGTTATTTGAAACACTGCATGCCATAAATGTGCACTACTTAGAAAAAGAGCACTTTTATTCAGTTACAATTAACATGTACTTGACTGTAAGAGTACTTAAGTTAGATTTTCTGAAAAGCAGACTCTGAGACAAGTATTTGAGTGCAAATCATTTATTTCAGAAGTGCTCCCAAGAAGTATTGATAATAGAATACAGAATTAAAGCAGATAATATAATGAAGTCAGTAACAGATGTGGTTTCAATCAGATTTTACTATGGGCAACTGAAGCTCAATGCCACTGGAGACCAACAGGATACATTTTATAACATGTCTCAGACTTATCTCAGCTGACTGGTGAGGAATCTGGAGTAATTACCTACCAATGCCCCTGACCATCTTTGGTAAGGGGTTGCTGCTGGGGTCATTATCTTCTGGCAATCCTGCCTTGCCATCTGTGAGCTGAGTGTGCTCTCATATGCCAGAAAAGAAACAATCCTCCAGCAGAGACTTACAGGTTTTTACAATAAGCAACGTTCAGAATGTAAAGGTGAAGCTAAGGAGATATGGGCAAGGTATCAAGAGTGTCTTTATACCACGTATGACTCAAATTGTTGCATTCATACCCATATCATTAGAAAACTATCTATTAAAGGTTTGGGATAAATCAAGGAGCTGAGCGTACAGTGTGTACTCTAATGTGAACCAATGCTCCATTCAGAAACTCTTGAGATGTACATAGTGAGGTAGTGGATCACAAGCTGTTCATCTCATCTAGAACTTGTAGACAATGGTTAGTAGAGTGTTACTTTGAGTAGCTCTGTGCTATAGTGCTTTACTGACAAACACAGAGTTCTTTACTTCATCTTAATATTGCTAAGATTATTTTTAAATCCAGTTGCGTTGCTACCTAATAAAACATTTGGTATATATGTAGTTAATGGTGATATGATATAAATATACCACACTTTAAGTTATAAGGTAACAATATGTCAAATTACAAATTTCATACACCATTATTATCTTAAAAACAGACCTCTTAAATAAGTATCAATGTCAAAATAAGTTTTGACTTGTGTTTTAAATGAATTTACATCCTAACAGAACTGTCCTTAAATGCAGTTATGTTTTAATTGTTCCATAAGCCTCTTGCAAATTATACAGTCTGATGCCCTGTAGACTACATACTATAGAAGCAAAAGGTTGGGAATTTAAAATGAGCATTATTGGGACACATCTGTTCTGTTCTTTTACTTCTAGGTAAATCAATTTAACCAGAAAATACCTGTGCTCTCTTTTATCTACCTGTCATGATTTTTCATTTTCTCTTCAAATATTAATTTGCTATTTTTCCATTTGCATCTAGTAAAAGTTATCTCTCGCAATTTCAGGTTTTTGTTCTATCCCGTGTGGTACCATACAACAGCAATAATATGCCCCCCATATATGTGCAAAATGCACCGAAGTTCAATCGTTGTTTTGCATCTAGTAACTTATATTCTGACTCTGAAAGAATTTTGCTTAATTGGATGAACATAAACTATGAGAATACTCGACATGTGATATGGAAGAACTGTCCCAAAGGTAAGAAGTTACTAAGTTACTTTTTCCCTTAAACAAATTATTGCAAATTGTAGTGTGATGATGTAGAAGGAGCCATGGACCCACACTCCACTCAGAATCCATGGATTCTAGACCTGTCTCCAACATTTACTTTCTGTTCTACAAAAATGATACCTCCTTAACATCTTCGAGGCATGTTTCCTCACATATAAAGTGGAAATAATGAAAGGTGCTTCTTTAACTTATTTTGAAGAATTACTGATTTTAAAAGCATATGGAGGAACTCTAGAAATGAAAGCCTTAATTACTGCCAACATTTTCAGCTATATAGGTGACCTTGCTCAAACTTTGTATATAACTAGTTGAGATCAAGTAAAATCTCTTAGAAAACATCTCACATGTCATATGATGATCATGTTGGATATAACTAAGAGTAATAATGCTTCATGAATTCTTTGGACGGTAGGTCATATTAGGCATTTCACAATGAAATAAGAAAGGCATTTCACATCCTTGTGATATAAATGAATTTACATTCTATGAGAACTGTCCTAAAAATGCACTTATTTTTTAAAAAAAACATTAATTTTTTTTTCTGTGACAGAGTCTCACTCTGTCACCCAAGCTGAAGTACAATGTCACAATCTGGGCTCACTGCAACACCACCTCCCTGGTTCAAGCGAATCTCCTGCCTCAGCCTCCCAAGTAGCTGGGACTACAGGCACATGCCACCACGCCCGACTAATTTTTTGTATTTTTAGTAGAGATGGGCTTTCACCATGTTAGCCATGATAGTCTTGATTTCTTGATCTCGTCATCCGTGCACCTCAGCCTCCCAAAGTGTTGGGATTACAGGCATAAGCCATCACACTTGGCCAGCAGTTATTTTTTTAATTGAGTAATAAGCCTCTTGTAAATTATACAGGGTGTTGCTGAGACATGTTGGTGTTCACAGATAGTAGTAAGGACAGTGTTCATGGTCATTTTTTCTTTAGTTTCATTTCAACTCCTTTCTTCCAAGTACATACAAACCTGTTGTGTTCAGAGTAGACTGTTTTTCACCATAAAATAACTTTTTAATATCCAACATGCAGAATTCAATTCAAACTTTAGAAGTAAGGGGAAGATTAAAAGTTCAGTTTAAAGTGAGACTTTGAATTATGATTGCCCTTAAATTGAAGGTGTTATTTTAGAAAATATTCCAGAAAACATCAAGAATGAAAAAGATATATTGATATGTTGATATTTGAGAACAGCAAACAGAATACCTTCTAATTGACATGCTGAAAATATCAAAATTTATATCTTATAAAAATGTATTTTCCCATTAAAATACAAAAACCAAAATACAAATAAATAATGCTAAAGTGAACTATGCAAATAACATAAAAAAATGGTTTTATTAATGTGGAGTACTGCTTTGACCAGGGTGTCATAAAATATATACATATATTAAAAATTAATATGTTCATTTTTTATAAATGTTTTATGGTTCTAATTTTACCAACACAGTGGCCTGTGCAAGTTAATTTCAAATATTTTGCTACTTTTTTTCCAGATAATACATTATAGACATTTACCTCTTTGCTGTTTTTTAGCACACTGAGTCCAATGCCTTTACAAAGCCTTTGTGCTTACCAGATATCTTCATGGTTCCCTTTCTCATTTCATTCAAGTCATTGATTAAATGTCACCTTATCTGACAAGGTTTCTCAATATGCCCTCTAAAACAGCATATCCTTCAGTCCTACTCTTTCTTGCTCTATTTTTATTCTAAATAACACTTTTTAAACATAAATGTATTTGTTTATTGTCTGTCTCTTCCAGTAGAATGTGATCTTCTGAATAAATTAGACAAGATTGTTCCTTGGCTAATTAGGAATGTGACCTTCTTAATTAGCTAAGGAACAGTCTTATCTAATTTATTCCCAGAGCCTAGAACTATGCCTAACAAAATAACAGAAATATACTGTCTTAGTTTTGCCATAACAGAAAGGTGATATAACAAAATACCATAGACTGGGTAATTTATAAAGAAGAGAAACTTATCTCTCTCAGATCTAAAGGCTGAGAAGTCCAAGAATAAGGTACTGGCAGGTTATATGTCTGATAAAGGCTACTGTCTGCTTCCAAGATGGTGCCTAGACAATGCACACTCCAAACAGGAAGAACTCTTGTGTCCTCACATGGCAGAAGGCAGAAGGACAAAAGAGATAAACTCTCTCCACCAAACAACAATGTATTATTGAGCAGTAAGATGAAGTGAGCTACCAAGGCATGAAAAGGCATGGAGAAAACTTATAGGTGTATTACTAGGTAAAAGTAGTCAATTTGAAAAGGCTACACACTGTGTGGTTTCGACTATATGACTTTCTGAAAAATGTAAAACCACAAAGACAGGAAGACCAGTGGATTCTATGGATTAGTGGGAAGGAGTGATGAATAGGTAGAGTACACAGGATGTTTAAGATAGTGAACTACTTTTGATACTATAATTGTGGAGACATGTCATTATGCATTTGTTAAAACCCATAGAATGTATAATACCAAGAGTGGGTCCTGATGTCAACTGTGAACTTTGGGTGATAATGATTTGTTAATGTAGGTTCATCAGTTATAATAAATGTACCACTACAGTGCAGAAGTTTGGTAGTGGGGGAGGATTGTGTGTGTATGGTAACCCTCTGTAACTTTGGATTCCTTTTGCTGCAAACATAAAAATGCTTTAAAAAGCTATTTAAAAAGAATTTAGGGGGAAGTGCGCCAAGATGGCCAAATAGAAACAGCTCCAGAGCGCAGTTTCCAGCGATAGTGATGCAGAAGGCGAGTGATCTCCCCATTTCCAACCAAGGTACCAGGTTCATCCCAATGGGACTGGTTGGACAATGGGTGTAGCCCATGAAATACAAACTGAGGCGTGCTGAGGTGTCGCCTCACCTGGGAAGTGCAGCTGGTTGGAGGACTCCCCCTCCTACCCAATGGAGGCCATCGTGGACTTTTCCCAGCCACTCTGGCACTCCAGTTCAGATAATGCGCTTCTCCCATGGTCTTTATAGCCCACAGACCAGGAGATTTCCACTGGGCCGACAAAACCGTGGGCTTCCAGCACAAATCTGAGTGACCATGTCAGCCAGCACCATGGGTTTTCAGCACAAATCTGGGTGGCTGTTTTGGCTGGTGCCTTGAATGCATGCGAGACAGAACCTCCCACTCCCCTGAAATAAGGGGAGCTGAAGGTAGGGAGCCAAGTGATCTGGCTCAGTGGGTTCTACCCCCACAAAGATCAGCAAACTGAAACCCTCTGGCTTCAGAATTTCACAGCCAGCACAGCAGTTTTAGCTTGACCCAGGACAGTTGAGCTTGGTAGGGAGAAGGGTGTCTGCCATTGCCAAGGCAGTTGTAACCTTATCTGCATAAACAAAAGTGTGAGGAAGTTTACACAGCAGCTGGATGGAGCCCGTGGCAGCTCAGCAGTGCCTCTGTGGGCAGACTTTGACTAGACTCCCTCCTTGCTGGGCAGGGCATCTCTGAAAAAAGGCAGCAGCATGTCAGGGACTTCTAAATAAAACCCCACCTTCCTGGGACAGAGCACCTGGGAAAAGGGGTGGTTGTGAGTTCTGCTGTAGCAGACTTCAATGTCCCTGCCCAGCAGCTCTAAAGGGAGCAATGGAGCTCCCAGTACAGTGCTTGAGCTCCGATAAGGGACATACTCTTCCTCAAGTGGCTCCCTGACCCACAGATATCCACAAAGACACCTCATACAGGAGAGCTCTGGCTGATATTTGGTGGGCACCCTTCTGGGATGAAGCTACCAGGGGAAAGAACAGGCAGCAATCCTTGCTGTTCTGCAGCCCCTGTGGGTGATTCCTAGGCAAGCAGGGTCTGGAGTGGACCTCCAGCAATCCTGCAGCAGAGGGGCCTGTTAGAAGGAAAACTAAAAAACAGAAAGAAATAGCTTCAACATCAAAAGAAAGGACATCCACTCAGAGAACCCATCTGAAAGTCACCAACTTTAAAGACCAAAGGTAGACAAATCCATGAAGATGGGAAGAAACCAGTGCAAAAAGCATAAAATCACCAAAACCTGGCACGCCTCTCATCTTCCAAGGGATCACAACTCCTCACCAGCAAAACTGGATGGAAAGTGAGTTTGACAAATTGACAGAAGCAGGCTTCAGAAGGTGGGTAATAACAAACTTCTCTGAGCTAAAGAAGCATGTTCTAACCCAATGCAAAGAAACTAAGAACCTTGAAAAAAGGTTAGATGAAATGCTAACTAGAACAACCAGCTTAGAGAAGAACATACACTACTTGATGGAGCTTAAAAACACAGCA